AAAATTACTATAGTTCAACGTACTATCTCCGCTCAGAATAGTATTTGTAAATACCTAMACAACCATTTATCATTTAATTTTGTTTAATGTATTATCTATTACCTATACAGTGATCTACTCAATGGTATATTACACTCGACCCTAGCAATACAGCAGAGCGTGTTCCCTCGTTATTATTTCCTTTTTCAGCTGAATAAAATATTCACATACTTAATTTTTATCGATTATAGAAATGTAATAAAATGCATTCCCAAATGCTGATGAAAATGTATTTCACTATTGTAAAATCAAGTGTAGTGAAGCGCAAAACAATATTTATTTTTTATTTTATCAGAAGTGTTTGCACTGAACAATAGTGTTTTATTTGTCGTATACTGGCTTTCATAGGCTTATAAATATAATATTGTTTAAAGAATCCGTAAAGAGGAAAATAAACTGAAACGGCAGAAGAATTATTAATTTGATCAATCTGATCACTGTAAGGCACGTAAAAGAAATACAAGTTGTTCAACATATTTCAACGTTTTGTGCGAAGAACCATATCATGAATAATGTATTTATACAAAAGCAATTATTATAGCGTACAACATGATTTTTAATTGAATATATACGATGAACCAATGTTATGTGATTGTATTAATTTTACTATGAAATTATTAATAATACATTTTAATGCCTACATAATGATCTAGAGTTTTATAAATATTAAATATATGATGGTTATTCCTCAGTAAGAATATAAGTACCTACATTGTTTCAGTTAGAAATTAATAACAAATATTGTAAAATTATAAAACGATAAAATAATGAAAAATCTAATCCAATGTACATAATATGATGACTCATATTAGTTACAGAGAAAAGAAAACCAAAAATTTAAGTTACAAAACATTAATCACTGTAACACTGATTAAAAATATAATAAAATGTCCGTTACCAAATCTAGTTTGGAGGAACTATGCTATATACATGGGCATAAGACATAAGGTATGAGTTAGGTACTCAATATAAAATATATACAGTGTTTCACCAACTTTGTTTGATATCACCAAGAATGGTTCCCTACTTTTTTCTTTAATATTGCAGTTATTCAATATTATCTGATTTTTTTTTTTTTTAGTTTTTGAATATACTTGATGACCATACTTCTCAATTCTAGAGATTTTTTTTATAACTTCTATACAAAAACAAACTTTGGTTTTTAAAATTAGAAAAAAATAAATACTTAATTTACAACTCACAAAACATTAGGCGTCTAAAGCAATATGACATATTTAAGTGTCTTAGGAATTAGGATAAGGAAATTGATTCATTGGAGGTACTAACCCAGACACGTTCTTGTACAGTAGATACTTAAGTAATTATTATAATTTATAATTATAACTATTATTACTTATAAATATTATCATATTGTACACACTCAATATGTATTGTATTAATAAAGACTTTTGGTCTTTTAAATAAAGATGGAATAGGCAGTTTAAAAAAAATAAAAAACCTTTTTTGTATAGTATTGTGTATTGCAGTTTGCAGCTAAGTACTTGATATAAGATAACAATTCTGTTGTGTAAATTTCCTCACCACCTAGCTTGTTAAACTACATAATGTGGTTTAAAAATATGAGGTATTACACGTAGCGCGTTTTTTTTTTTTATTGTGGTGTCCCCAGTAGGCCTAATCCACATTGTAAGTGAAAACGTGCAAACACCGGTCGACTGCAATAATAAAACTTAATTTACAATGACTTGTGCAGTAAAAAATGCACTTCTCGCGYATAAAAATCATCTTATTATCAATATAATTTAATTCAATTGGTTATATAAATAAAATATACCAAAATTAATTAATTAATTGGTTTTAACTTAGAATTGCTTATTTCGTCGAATCACGGCACCCACTCATTCACGACTTACTAGTGTTGAATTTAAGTGTGTTTCCGTAAATATGAAAATGCAACCAGGGATGCAGGTGCTTAAGGATTTGTATTTGTTACATGATATTATAAGTCCAAGCAGTAAAAACAGGTGAAATTCTTTGAGGAGTAGATACCCTGCATAATAGTCGTTTAAATTTATTTAAAGGAGCCCTTTTCAAGATACTTATTTAAATTCAACACTGTCTTAATACTATAACGATAACTATATAATATAATACTAATAATAATAATAATTATTATTATTATTATTTATCATTTATCACATTATTATAATATTAGGAATATATTAAATTTCATTTACTACCATTTAGTGATCAGACAAAGACCTATTTCTAAGTTTCCAACCTCTCGCTCTAATAAGACCTAACTATTCAACCTACCAAATGTGTAACAAAACTCCTTCATGAAAAATTTTTACGTTTCCGGGGAAGACGTGTTTGAATGTGTAAAGCCGGCCGGGATGATGTGTAGCGAGCTCGGACTGCTCGGAGATGAACAAATGATGTGTGGGTGGACGAAATTATCAAATAAAAATAAAATATAATACGTGACTCGAATAATACGGAGATGATGACGTATTATGAACGATTTTCATTCCTATCACTAAACTAAAGAAATCCTCTGAATTAACATCTGTCATAATCACAAGTGGCATTCTAAGCGTTCGTCAATCAAATAACTTGATGCTATTATATACATCTATAATATTATATATTATCTACTTAAATAAATACTAAAAAAATATTTTAAAAATGAACTTAATAAGTATAATTATAATACTTAATATCTAAATACATAATATATTTACAAAATACATAAAATACATAAAATTAGCTTACCATGACTAAATATATCAAAATAATTTCTTACTTGGACTCAATGGCTTGTTACAAAACTTAACTTACAGAGATGAAACATTGAGGTACGATACAAATATTTCAGATCTGAGTTCAATAAATTAATAAATCCTTTGGTAATAATCGAGTTCATTATTGGTGTGTGCAATCTACGAATCTATGAATCTAAAACGGATTAAAGGTTTTATATCGAAAATTAAGTGAAAAAAATAATAAACTAGGTAAGTGGAAAGATAAAAATAGTTTCAGAAAATATTTTATAAATTACATGTTAGAACATTAATCAAAAATTATAAATATTATTCATGAAAATTAAAACTGATGGACGTTATTTAAATTTATTTTGAACAAAATTAAATCTATAATCTGTTTATAATGATGAAAAACTACATAAATTTATTTTGAACAAAATTGAAGTAATAGGCATAATGAACATTAATAAGTTAAGCAAATAGTTTTAAAAATGTATATTATTTAGTATTTTTCTTATATTAAAACAACATGAATAACAAACATATTATAATTTGTAGCTAGTCTATCATATTATTATTCATTATAATAGAAATGTATATGAATGACTTGTTTGTTTTTTATACAAGTTTAATATTATGTTTGTGGACAATACACGATAATATGAATTAATATTGCCTATGTAGGCACAGAACATACCTACTAAGTATGTATAGCCAGCGTCCTCCATGCAGTAGAGGGGCGTGGTCAGGACTTTCAGAACATGGGCAAATACTAATTTAATATTATTCATGGAAACTAAAATTGTAGATTAAACGAGATTCGCCATAAAGCTATAAAATTAAATAGTCTCATGTCAAATTTTACCAAGGAGACATGGTGAAATAACTTATTAGTACATTGCAGGATCGAGGATACTATTTCTCTATTACAGCTAAAACAAATGTTAGTACTTACACTCAAATACATAAACCATCAGATAAGTTACTCAGTACAGCACTAGATCTAGATGAGAGGAGGAAAAATAACAATAAAAAATTTCACCCGGTCAAAATGCTTAAGACTCTAAAACAATCATTATTGTTACATTATTAGTTATTTCTATAATAAAGAAAAAAAATGAGCGTAAATTGCATAATATAACATAAATTATGCCTTTATAATTTAAATATATTATAGAATTTTACTGAATACCTACTGATATTGTGTTATGTCCTGAATAACATAATATTTTTAGATCTAGCACAGACCACGAATATAATTATTAAACTCATGGTTTGACACCACAGTATTGCACTTCTTAAATTAATATAACACAGGTAACAGAATGCATGGTACAATTAAATATCAGAACGTATAATATTATGTACTATGAAATTGGTTTTCGTGTAGATTAAACTCGTAATAATAATACAGTAGGATATCGTTATAACCCGAACGAAATTGGGGGAAGAGGTTATTTGGATAGTTGATCTTTTTCGGATTAGGTAACCAATGATTTATACAAAATCAATTTTCTTGAAATTTAAAATTATTTTTATCTATTAATTAAATACTAATTATTTCGTGTCAAAGTTATAATTATGTATGTACAGTCATTTAATATGTATATTATTTATGATTATGCACCTATTCATTTAAAACATTGATTTATTGTTTTTTGAACACTACTTAGTTTCTATATTAAATGCCTTGTCCTGCAAACGGCCAAGTACACGTGAGATGTACGAACGCAATCGACAAATATTTTATCAGCAGGAAATATTATTACATTATTATGATATACATACATAATATATGTGTGTATTAATATAAATATGTGACAATTTTCAAGCCCGTTCAGATTACCACGTCTTTCTGTGTAATAGGTATTTCATTAGGTTTAATGTACAATATTTATACTTTCACCGTCTCAGCAGCGCTGTCACTGCAGTATAGGTACCTACATAGTTATATGGCCGTATATAGACATGTACGAACAATAATAATACTGTGTGTGATAAACAAAATATATGTGCGTTTAAAATATCGTTCGTATACTGACACACAATATAAAATTGATAAAATAAATATAGTCGGTCGTGTAATGTAATGTATAGTATAAAATATAATATATTATTATATAGCCTCTACCAAGCGAGATTAAGCGAGATTTAAGTATGACCGCTGCTGTGGCGACGATATCGGTTACTACGGCGTTGGGTAGGTGGGTGGTCAAGTGGATGGCGGTGGCAGTGGCTGCAGTATTGGATCAGCATCCGCGCACGAACCATCGCCAGTTCCGTCGACCGACTATTATAATAATATAACATATAACTGTTTCTATTATTATTATTCCATATTCACCTACTCGCCGTGAATTATTTTACATATTAATATAACATCGTAACATATTAAAATGCAGACCACTCAACGACTTTCGGTCAGCGTGCTCATGGTTTTATTACTTCTGGTCATCGGTTGCCTTTGCAGACCGCAGGAAGCCGGCAAAGGCAAACCGTCAAAAGACGGAGGAGCCAAACCTCTGGAGACCTCCACCGGACCGACGACTCTTTCCAACAACCGGATGAGCAGACTTCAAAAGCCCACACAAGGTAAAATTTCATATACCAAATGAAAGAAACAAAATATAAAATAGCCTTCACCTCCTCCCACGACCCTTTRTCCTAAAAATCCTAAATAGTTTAAGATGTTGCAGCAATACTTATAACTGGAAAGTATAATAGGTACCCTTTGCAACCTAAAATATTAGATATTAAAGGAATATACTGAATTTTACGTCGCAGCCGTTATTTTAATAATTAAATATTTGTTTTTCGGTAGTGTTGAACACAGGCTTCGACGAGATCGTCGTCGAATCAAATTTGCAAGTGCACAACCGAGTTGGATCCAAAAACAAATCAAAGATTATGTTGCCTTCCAACTCGACGGCCGCGGCTACATCGATGCAGACCAACAAATCGGCCAGATCGTTGATGGTCTAACGCGTGCGACGGTGCAGTTATCACTGAAACCAAGAGATGTATAATGTCATACCTAATATACCTTTACCTGTCTTACTATGATCTACCATAAGCCACGCACAATGTTTTAATCCTGACAATATAATTATTATTTGTATTCAAACCACGCAGCGTTTCGATCTACGTTACGTTCGACAAATAATGCAACGAACATGTTTGTAATATGAAAAATAAATTTAATATAATATTTATTTATTTATGAATTTAATACAAACTCATTATACGAACAAAAGTTACGTAATGTAGAGTTTTAACTATGCGTAAAGAGGTATACCTCAGCAACTATTGACTTGTACTTAAATGATTGCTCATTAAATTTAAAATTTAAAAATTTAAAAAATTTAGCTATGTGGAACTTGGAACATAAAATTTCTTCTTGCGTAAAAATTTTTGTACAGATTTCCATGAAGCTATTTATTTTCTCACAAATATACATATAGTATTATATAGAGTATTATAAAGGTAAAGATAACGCTAACGAAACTAAAAAAGTTTCTGAATTACGATTGTATAATATCATTGAAACAATATTCAAATATTTTGAATGAAAATTCTTGATTATAATATTATATATGTATGTACAGGAATATTATAGTTACCTAATCTGGATTATAACTATATGAATGTGTAACTTAAGTATTGATTCTTTTGTGTTTGTGTAATAAGAATAAAATGTAATACATAATAAGCCGAGACTTAAGAAACTTTTAGTTTTTCGACACTTTTTTACATCGTATGTGCATCTTTTTTTAAGCCATTTAATACAATGTTAATTCAAATTACATTTATATTGTTTTTTTATTATACTTATAATACAATAAAGTCCTTAATTATTCAAAAATATAAATTAAATAATACAACAATAAATTCATATTGCATAAAGTTTATAGACTATAAACCATTGTTTTATAAATTCTAAACACATTCATAAGTCTAAAACTAAGTTAAGGTTTATTTAAAGGTTTTGTTAAATAGACTATATTTAAACCATAACTTTAAATCAAACTAATAATTGAAGTATATTAGACCTATATCAAATAATAATATTTTTTTTTTTTAAGTGAAAAAAATGTAAGCTATATAAATTTTATATTAAAATGTATAACTAATAAGTTGTCTTTATTAGTTATTAGATCATTCCTTCTTTTCTTACCTAAGTATTATAATGATTACCCCCTTAGGCTTAGTTATAATATTAATGTTATACATTATAAAAGACGAGACTCATAATATAATTACCGTTTGGCATTGACGTTTATATCATATACGTAGATTATTTTCGATGTGATGTATGTTTCATGGTGATATAATATCTATGTTTTGATATATAATATTACCTATTCATAAATTCTGAGAACAATATTAGATGAATATTATATTATAATATTATAGGACCAGGAGATCCATTTAATACAAGACACTTATTGTTCAAAAACTATTAACGTTACTAAAATATTTTAACGATTTTTATTGGTTTAGTTTTTTAGTTTTCCTTTTTTTAATGACTAAATGATTTTAATTCCTTATTCCAAAGAACAATATGTTTTGGAGTACTTCCTTCAAATTATAGAAAAGTAGCTTGTGATGAGTTATAATAGTTCTTAAAGTTTTGATGAGTGCATCAGATTATTGGAGTGATACAATAGGTGGTACCACACAAAATATTGGTCCACAATTTCACTCAGCGAAATTTTAAAATTTAAATAATTAGGTTAATAAAAAAATTATATATAGGGTGTTACCAATGAGTAACTACTCTAATCTTAAGCTTCGTTTAAGCTTCTATACCATTTATCAAACCTACTTATTGTACAAAAAAATGTATAGATGGAAGTTTCATTTCAATAAAACAAAAATAGTTAGGTATAATTAATTAACAAGATATACTTGACAGAAATTTTATTTTTATTGATTACTCCTTCTTAATAATATTCTGCTTCGGAAAATGAAATTATAAATGTAAGTTGTGGTCCAAAAATAATAAAAATAAGTTGTTTTACAATAATGACTTAAAATTAAGCAAATTAAAATTTTTCAAAAACAATTGTTTTTAAAAATATTGAGTGTCCTACGTTAAATGGATCATACCATAATGTACCAGCTAATAACAATGCATTGTATGAATCTTCTTCTTCCTAGTATTATAGCGATCCATTCAGCCCATCATCGCTTGAGGAATGCTTTTCCACATTTATTTATCCACTTCCACTCACATATCTAGTATTGGATCAATTTTTTTTGTTCTTTATTTCCAATTGATTCATTCCATTTCTGCCAAAATCTACCTCTTGATTTTATTTCAGCTACCTTCTCGTCCACTCAGCTCACCAGACGTGGCCTGTCCATTCTAACTTTTTTTTATATAGATGAAATTAACAATCTATATTTAATAGCACATTAAGTAAATATGAAACAAGAATAGACATATTAAACTTATAAAATATTAAATAAAAAATAATTTGCATAAATCATGCGTAATAGAATTGAGGTGAGCAGTCACTTTTTTATAATTTATAATAACAGTCACCTGTTAGTGTTAGTGTTACCCATTAGTGGCTCATTCGTTAGGTAGTATATAATATACATATAAATTTATAAATATTTTTTTTTTATAACGGTGTTTATTACTAAAACACAACCTCTTTTTGACCAAGAAATACTGTAGACTCAACTTATTATTACATAGCTGTTTTTATTTGTTCAGTGTTCTTCTTTCGAATTTTTCCAAGTCAGCATTGTATAGCTGTCCTTATATTTTCCTTAATATTTTTCTCTTGAATCTCTCTAGTTTTTCTTCATCCTTCTGGATACTATATTATGTCTCGCATTCTCCTCTTCACACCACTCATAAACCTGATTACCTCAATGGCTAGGTACCTATAGTATAACATTAAAAATTATTTATTACTTARTATAGATATCTTATACTCACTGATGTAAATCATTTAATGAATTACAAATTTATAAATAAATAAATTACAAAATAAACAAGAGGAAACAATTTTACTTCTGTAAGTAAGTTAAAAAATAATTGCATAGAATTTCTAAAAAAAAACCTCAATCTTAGTGAAAAAAAATTCTGTATTGCTTTATGTGTTACTTCTATAATACTTCCGCTATAAAAAAAACTACCCATACAGTTTTTTTAATACATTTTCTAAACTCAATTTTCCATAGATTCATAAGAAAACCTTGAAATGTTTTCCTGTTCTGGTTTATTTAATATATTATGTAGACCGTGAAGTAATTCGAATTATCAACTCATATATTATTATATCTAGCTATCTAGTAAGATTATAATATCATATTATCACCATATATTTTTTTTTAATAAACTAAAAAACATATTTGTAATTTAGTTAAATTTTTAAACAACTAATATATAACGGTTTTTCTTAAATATTAACAGTAAATTGAAAATTATTTAATGTTTGTATTATTTATATGAACAAATTAAATGCATGTTATTAAATCATAATTTATATGCTATGCAGAAATATTTAATCAGGGCTTTGAGTTGGAGTAGTGATCTGACTAACTATAATTATTTAAGTTTTAACGATTTGTGTTAGTTAATAATGTCACTAATGTAACTTGAGATCTTCCTATGATTACGATTATTATAAATTTATATTATTTTCTATACGTCAATGTTGTTTTTTTTTACATAACAGATACCAAATAATATGAGTATTAAATATTAATGATTAAATGCTGTTTTGATATTACTTGTGTATGTATTTATACGTTTAAAAAATATTGGATACAATTTATTAAAGTCGTGATACTAATTAGTTTTTGATTTATACAAGAAAATGTACTAATCCAACTTATACCACTAATTCTTTATAAGTGTTATTTCTTAAATGAGCTCAAGTGTTGTCACTTTTCGTTTTTACGAGCTATGTAATCTATCGTTTCAAAAGTAAAAGTAGAACCTACACCAGAACAAATATTTATAATAAAATGTATTGTTTTACCTACATAATATACTCAATGGTATTACTGATATTTTCAGATATTTTTAAGTGGAATTTTTTTTTATTGTAATCATAATAATATGTAACTATTTCACAGGTGCCTACAATACGGTATAATAATATTCTTTTAATCTTTGTCATTTCTCTTTTCATCGGTCATAACTCATAATGCTATACAACATATTTCGGACAATAAATTAAAAAACTGCATAATATTATGTAGTAAGCTAACTAATATTGTTATGCAAAATAATTTTGGTTTTTGAAAGACTTAGTTGAAAACGAGTAACAAGAAACACATTACAATAACATTTCTGAGTTAACAAATGGTAATTATGATTTACACTGTATACTATTGTATTTAACTATTTGTTGTTAAATGAACATGTACCTATCTAGTTTCCTCAWTTATAATGACTTACAGACTTCTTGTGCAATGAAATCGACAAACCTATTGATAATTCGAAAACATCGAAGTAATCTGACTCATTACGCTACACAGGTAAGTAGGATTATATTTTCAAGTATTGTCTATATAATAGCTGTTATGTTACAGAAATATTATTATATAGTCACCCGTGAAATATATGACGGACGTGCAAGTCACTATATGTAGTATTAGCAGAAGATATTGAACCATACCCGGATATGACCTGTGGACATGAAAACGAAGGAAAACACTTAACGCGTTCATTTATGTATTGTGTATATTGTTAGACGTATAAGAAAAATACCAACCGTCACGACCTTGGTGACTGAGTTTTTCCATGCATGTTTTGTCAGGAGTTACAGTATAATATGTGTTAAAAATGAATTATAAGCATTAAACAATAATTATTATTTTTGAATCCATCCGGCTCAATATGCATTATATAACGATAATATGTAACCATCAAACGTTCTAAAAAGAAAAAATTAAAAAATTAAAATTTTAAAATCATCTGCAGTAATATTACTATATTCACATATTATTAAAAACACAGATTTTTCATATCTTACTAAAATATAATAAATTACATACTGTTTACCGTGTGTAAATAAAATTATAAAATGCAAATTTAGTGTATTATAAAGATTTATAGTATATTTCATATTATATAATTTACCGTAAATATTAATTCGGGTTTAGTTAAAACCACGATATTAATATACCTACACAACTGTATTATATCTAGTATCTACATTTAGTTAGTTTCGTTTTCTGTACAAAACTACCGAATTAAATCAGAATACTTCCAATAGTTTTTTGTGTAACTGATATAGTATTGCATTTTAACTTCGCATAATTTATTATTTATACCTATGTTAAAATGTATAAAATATTATTGGTATTTGTATTTCAAAAATTTCAAAAGATAAGGTTGTTATATTTTATTTAACTGATTTACAGTGCATAAAATCTATTTAATTAGAAAATTACTACATTTAACTCAAATTGTACTGTTTATAAAAAATAATAGTAGTTTTTATTAGATTAGGTTAGATTTGCCTTATTATTGCTTACTTCAGTGATAACTAATAATAATTTTACTAATTTATAATTTTTTACCATGAAGATGCAACGCAGTTATTATCAGAGCTCAATTGTATCTAAACAGTGGTCATCGAGCAACTCGTCACCAATCAATCTATTTTAACGTTTTGATGTTGTAAATTATAACATATTTTTCTATGGGTACAGACACTAAAAGTATAATAAGGTTATGGCAAGCATTGCATTMTCGTGCAGAACATATAGACTTATTTTTTCATTAAACGTACCAGCTATTTACAAATATAAATAAAAAAGTTACTATATAATGTATGTATTTATTTAATTATTTAACAGACATAATGCCATACGATTGAACACTAAGATAATACCTATATAGACATGAACTATACACGGTGGTACTATGGTATCAATTAAATAATACAATAATGATTAGTTAATATATTTTTGTAAAGAGACGATACAAATAGTTTTAAATTTCGTTTTTATTTTTTAAAAGTCAAATTTTATTGTACTGGTCGGTTTTTTCTCAAAAGTTTATCATATTGTTGATTTTTTTTTGTATTTGAACTGCGTTTATAATTTATTCTCAAATTTTAATTATAAGTGAAATTTTTAAAATAAAAAACATTATGCCTCCTCCACAAGCCCAGCTTAAAGGAGGTTTAATTAATTATTTAATCGAAAAAATTAAAATAAAAAATGTTGAATGGGATGAAGTATTTTCAGAATTTACTAACATAAACATTATATTGTAGCATTCTTTTATAATATTTTATTTGCTTGATAGGTTAAAGCCAAGGGATATTATTACCTATATCTATTGTAATATACATGTACAAGCTATTGGGCCTTATACAGATCCAGAAAAAATAATTTCTTTCCTAAAAAAAATTGAAATGTACAACATAATATAATTTTAATCTATTGTAAATATATAATATATTATAATCTATAACTTAAAATATTACTACTGTAAGCTAATAACCTTGTAGTTGATGATGTAACAATAAAAAAAATATATATACATGTACATCAATTTATAAATATATATCACCCATTGGTTACATTTTATTCTAATCAATTTTGTAACATCTAAAAAACAACATATTTGTTGTAATGAACTTGTTCTTTTTCTACTTCTTGTTCTTTTTCTTTTTCTAACTCTCTACTTTCTCTTCTGTACCTAACTGTTTGGTTTTGTCCAGGTTCATTATCAGTAAACATTTCATCATTTCATGTATATTTAAATAAATTTTCTCTAGTTATCTGAAGCATATTATAATGCGATACAGACATTAGAAATACCTGCATAATATTAACATGATCAGACTATTCAGACTATTATCATGCAGCTTGAGTATATTATTTCAAATATATGGAAAATAAGAAAAAAAAAGTCCACTCTGTTGTACAGTTACTACGCACTAGGTTCGAGTATACATTCCATCTCAAAGGATATCATAAGAAGTATAACTATAAACACACATATATATAGGCCTAAATATAGGACATGTATGTGTATTAAATTTTATTTAAACGATAAATAATATTTATCAAATTTTCGTAAAAACAAAAACGGTTCTCGCAAGTATTACTGCTTATGATATATTTTTGCTTAAATATTAAAACAATTTATTTAACTATTAGAATAAAATGTTATTCTTTGTTTAAATATATAATTTTGTTCAAATTGAACATAAAATGTCAAAAAAATATTTTTTCCTGTATTCTTTAGTTTTTTTCCAGTTATATTACCTAGAGCTACAGAGCTACATATGAACAACTTGATACTAAATTATCAAGCTTTTTTACACGACGAAAAATTTGTATCAAAATGTATAGAAAAAAATATCAAACAAATTTAAATGATAAATAAATAGATCAAAACGAGTCAAAATATTTAAAAAATATATGTATTATTTGAGGAAAACTATAATAATATAAACATTTCGTGAATATTCCAAATATCTAAGGTTATTTATTTTTTTATAGTTTGAAAAATCTTTTTTATCGAATACTAGTTTTGCGTGGAAATTCCAGTTTTTTTAAAAATTTTTTTGTATTTTCTCGATCAGTTTGAAAAGTACTAGGAATTATTTACGTTGATTTCTCAACTAGATAATTTTCTATCAGAAACAAGTCTAAATTAAAATAGTGATTCATGTTATTACCCCAAAAAATGATAACAGATAGTAAAAATGAAAATTATATTTGAAAAAACACACATCAGTACCCCATCACTTCACTCATAACCTAAAATCGTATTTCCTCATTTTATTTTAAACCTAATAAACAGTTAAACAAATACTAGAATGTTGGATTGGGATTACAATTAATATTTATAGTATTTTATTTTGTTCATTCACATCAATCGTTATTTTCAAACAAACCAACAATAACAAAGATTTTAAATTCTTAAAAACATATTTTATTTTAAAAGAAACCATGTTTTAAATGCAATATAAAAATACGTTGTTATTTAGTGTACAAATAAATTTAAAAAATAATATTATTTCTAAATAAGTCAGTCGATTTTGATGTATAGTTTCATCATTTAATCTAACCGACCGAACAACCAAATTTTAAAAACTGATAGAAAGTTTAAAAGAATAAAGTATATGAAAAAACATTTTTAAATTTTAAAAATTGATATCGAACTGCAAAAAAGTCGTTTACATAGTCAGATAAATAATCTTATTTAAAACCAATTATTACTACTTAAATTTTTCAATACAAATACAAATAAATAAACATTATAAATTACAATAATAAACATAAATTAACAATAAAAAAAAACAACATAGCACACGCATACAATTGATTAGAACAAAATATTTGATGTTTGAGTAAAAATGTCCATGTAATATTCAGCCAAACAACAAAAATAATTAACTAATTATTTTAATTATAATAAAATAATGTATTTTTAATAACCTAATATAGTTTTAAATAATTCATTTTTTTCTATATAAAAAGGTAACTTAATGTATTATGTGACGTTGAAAACTAAAAAAGAAAAACTAGAAAAATATATTCAATTAGCAATATTAATAAATTAACAACATAAAAATCGATTTTATTTTTGTAAAATTAAAATAAATTATTATTATTTCACAAGAAACCGAATACAGCCTTTTCGTCGTTTTAATTTGTTGGGTTTCCATGGTCTACCATGAATTGGAGATTACAAAAACAACACACTAGAATATTATTATAATTCAAAAACGTGAGATTAGTCAGTTTTACATTGTAGTATTATTATCTAATTTTATATTATAATGTGATGTATACTATGAGCTTAACACAATAAAATATTACGATAATATAAAGTCAACAACAAAAAAAAAAAAAGAAAAATATTGTTTGTAGCAAAATTAATTGACTTTAAAATACGAAAAAAAGTTTAACCTAAGATAACAAATTTCCTATCAACAATAAAATGCGCATATTATTCATGATAAATAATCGTTTGTATATATATATATATATAATTAAAAAAAATATATAAAAAAATTTCTATAGTTTATTTTTCATTGCCTGCAATAAATGTATTATTGGACCGGTAAGAAACAAATATAATTATTCTATCTATATAAACTGTAAATGATGCTACTTTTTACACATAAATAAATATTAAAAGCACCGTGTGGTGATTATAGAATTATATATTTGTCATGTTTTGACGTACGTGAAACGTTTAAATATAACGCGCTAAATTATTGAAAAATGTATCCCATACGTAATATATTTAAATTAGTTATAAAATTCAATCCATAAAAAATTCAATAAAAATTCAACAGATCTCTCCGAGGTTATGAATAAGGAACATGACATATCGTTTTAATGTTGATGTTCTTTAGTACGATCTACCTGTAAAAAAAACATTAATTAATATAATATAATATGCGTAGCCTAGTGTTGCGCRATGTTAGAWCTCAGTCACTAACRTATTCTGAGGACAAGCATCAGCCGTTGACACTAGTTCTCGAATATGTGACCACAGAAAGTGGTAAAATCAAAAACTAGAAACTAGAGACCATTGTTCCTTGRAAAATAGACATTTCAAAATGTTTATCATAAACAATGGACATTAGGTAGCGMCTTACAAATTTTAATTCATAGGTAATAAACATTTAAATATTAGGACTTTATGAAAAATTAACTTAACTTCGGTGGACTGATCATCCAAGAATAATTCTCTTTTTAATCACTTTTATTATTATAAAGTATCACGTAATAATTAATAATATTAACTAACTCACCAGTTCAAATATAGCCTACAAAAGTCGTTTATTGGAATTGTTTAACTAGGTAGATAACGGGTCATGGGTGCCATGTGCATATATGTATTAATTTATATCCCATTTTAGTTTCATATTTATCTATAGGTATAGGTGAGTAATATAATAAATAATAATATAACAAATCAACTTCAATTAAACGAAACGCATTTAACTGTCGATATTTGCCTAATATGTATAATTTTATAGTTAAATCTACAATATCATAGCTAATTTTTTTTATGTTACTTTTTTAAAATTTTATTAGGCAATACGCAATCTGTAAAAATTAGGCACAATAAGCATATGTGAGCAATGGAACACTAAAAACAAAAATAAATAAAAATAAAACAGACGAGAAAGGCGTTATTAAAGGAGTCACCCATTAATGACACAGTAGCAGTTGTAAATATATCGTATATAATATACATCGTTAGTTAATTTAAAAAAGGTGGTGACATCATGTTCTTTTCAACCTACGTTGGGGATTTCCAGGAAGAGTTGAGATACAGAGACATTTTATGAGTGGATTGTAGTGATTCGAAAGTTTAAGGTGAAATCTATAAATCTATTGTAGAAAATTTTAGCTTCTTAGTTACCTAATTGTTTTGATATGAAGGTCGTTATGGAGCGTTGGATTTAAAACAAAATAAGGAGCATTTGTAATTTTGTGGAGTGAAATATTTTGAAATGTTTGAATTTTGTTGGTATTTGATTTTTTGGCTGCTCCCCAGAGTTGTAGTCCATAAGCCCATATAGGTTTTAAAAGAGATTTATATATTATTATTTTTGTTTTTAAATTTGTGAATTGGTTAGAATAAAGAGATGAATACCAAACTATTTCACCATGTCAGAAGTGGGAATTGGAATATTATTTATGAAAACGTTAGGACAGTGTCCTTGTTTTAGTGTGAAGGTATACGGACTAATTGTGTGCTATTAATTTTGACCCTTCATTTTTTGTACCAGTCCACCATTAGGCCCAGATGAAGGAAGAGTAGCTATATTTTTGTGTAATACATTGATATATAATCAGATATACCAACTAAAAAATTGAAAACTTCATTAAAAAATACGAGTCAAATAAATTCGGTAAAACGGTTCACCTTTGTTAATAATACGGTTAAATTGTACATTAGTTTAACGTATACTCTACAACTGTTATATAATATTGTATTAAAAAAAGATCTAATTATAATTTATAAATAAAATTAGCTGTGATTAATATTTTTGATATACAATCATTTTTTTTTTTTTTGTTATTTACACACATCATAATATAGTTACATTTTTATTTTTTACACATTTAAACATGTTTCTTAAACAWTATTTAGCGGAAATGTCTTTAAAAAAAAAAGAAAAAAAAGTTCTGGTAGAAACAAAAATTACAACTTTTACGCTTTTTTTACGTGGCCCGATGACTATGGCTATTCAGTATCTGATTTTGTAGGTACCAGAAAAGATCCTGACCCTATTAAATTCATTTTATTCGTTGAATAAATTTATTATACATTCAATCTAGATTAGAAAATATGCGTAGGTATCGAATTTCCGTATTCATATTATTTAGATAATATTAAGGTTGTTAAATGTGTGGTGTAAGTCCAACCAAAATAATGTTGATCTAATTCAATGAAACACAGATTTTCCGAAGTTATTGAACTTTAAATCAACTAACAACCTGTACGACCTATTTACCGTTATTTGAGTACAATGATGTTAGATAACCTGTTACATATCACATCATATTGTATTGTATTATTATGTTTATGAAACTATTACCATACTATTGGGATTCATATTAAATTATAATATGATAATTTTGGTTCTCGAGTAAATATATCATAAAAAACAGATTCATATTATGTACCTAGGTTGTTATTGATTATGATTTACAATTTATACTTTACTTAACCCTATTATTTTTTTGATTAAACTTATTCATATAAATTTTTATTTTTCGAGATAACTCATATTATTATAATAAAAAACGAAATATTTCCCCATGAATTAAATTGTTTTTGATATTAGCTCCTATTTCCATAATATAAACCTCGTTTTAACAAATGTATGAAATGAAATATTTAAAATTTATATTACTTTATGTTTTCCAGTATAACGATATATTTTTTTTATATGCTTACTACTTCTGTTAAATGATTTTATTACTGATGCCTAGTTTTAAACTTTATAGATTTAAATTAATTAAATTTAAATAATATTATATACATTCAAAATTATGAAAACTCTTCTTCGTGAAAACAATTTAAACCCATAATAAGTCTCACTTTAGTCAAACAGTCGTCTCAGTTTTGTCAGTGATAGGTGTCAGTTGACTCAGTTCTTCCTCGTTAATAGGTAGTTGATGGTCGTCTTCAAAGTTTATACTTCCTGCCTTATACCAGACAATTATATCAACGAAAAAGGCGCACATCATCAGYAGTCCAGTAACACCTGTTGTGAATAAAAATATGAGCAGTTAGTTGGAAATTAATTTGCRAAAAAACTGTCAAGATATAACTGGATTTTTCGCATAATATCATAAGCAAACGGAACTCACAATATTAATAATAACAAATTATTAGAAATCCGCGCACCATCCAATTTATGTTTTGATAGTCTCGAGTAACATAATATTTTAAATAAACGATTTATTGTTCAGGCATTCTGGCTTTTTTATAATTTATAAAGCTCTATTTTAATATTATGTATACCTCATCCCACCACCGCCGAACTACCAAGATGCATCGTGTAAATTATCATTAATATACTGAGATTTCGATGCATTTTTATTTTTTGTGTGTATTTAAACATGTAACTTCATGAGTGAAATTTATGTTACATATATTTAAAATTTAAATGCAATTTATACTTTACAATCTATCACGTTGTATACGTTTTGGTAATTTTTGGAATTTTCGAAGATTTTTTAACTTGATAAAAATTTATCAGCCGACTAACGAAGAAAATTTTAATTTTTAATTTTTTAAYGGCAACCAACCATAATTTATTTACCTAATACAACCTCAATTAATTTCCAAATTATATCAAAATTAAGTACAGTATAATTATTTTTATATTATTTTAAATGTATTTTATTTGCTTAAAAAATATACGGAATCTTAAGATATTTAGTATAGATAAGTACCTAACTAATTCTAGAATTTGTATTACATATGATAAATAAAAAAAAWTTTTAATGTTTACGWTTATAGTAAATTATTTTGATATATATATAAAGCATTTTCTTTTCTTTTTTTTTTCAGATAAATTTACAAAACCTATTTGGGTATCAAAATCTTACCCCTAATCATTAAATTTTTTAAATCGGTARGTTCACTACGTACAAGCGTAATAGTAATATAACTAAAGCTCAATTATCAATCTCTAAGAATTACGTAGGTATACATAAACGTATAATGGTAATAACGACTCCCAAAGATAATAATTGTGTTCGGAAATCTAATCCTCCCAGATCGACTGCTAGCGGATATTACCATGGTAGAAGATACGGAACGAGTCCGAGTTGTACAGAGAGCACGCTCCTTGTTTTCCGCACGTCATTTCCCATATGAGACACGCAGAGTCGACGACCGCTCCGTACAATATGGGACAAGGAACGTTACCTGTGTGACAATAAAATAATTACATTGTTATAATAATCGTTTCTATGTGTGTAAAAGTTTTTAAAACAATATTAATACTTAATAGCATAGTACCGATAATCGTTTTAATATAATATTATGTACTTCTAGATAATAATCGTTCATAGTTCCAAAAGCRCGACCATGGAGGAAGTGCGAGATAACGGTCTTATAATTTTGATTATTTTACTGTTAATTTTATTAGACATCGATTTTAAATTATTATCTAATTAAGATAGTTCACAAGCGTGCTTTCGGAGTTCTGTACATATTTAAAAATAATTCTTCTTAGCCCTCCCTACAAATATCGTAAGTGTGCACCTGCTAGCTCTGGGATGTATTATATGTAATTAATGTAAATTATTTGATTTCAAGCATAACWTAGTACTTTGATCTTTTTRTGCAAGTCTAATGTTTAATATTGCTTGTGAAACATTTTTTTTACAACTWAATTTAAAATCTCCAAATACATGAACATTTTTGATTTTTCATTGAGACAAAATTAACTTTTCCACTCACTACTCAMCAGATATACATTATAATAATATGTTACAAAACTATACACGTTGCAAAATTAGGGGCCCCTCACATTCAGTTTGTTTAATTTCATGTTCAAAAATCGATTTTTATAGCGGTCGTAGTTTGGACTGCCATGAAAGTTTAATAAACTAAATATCATAATACTATTAGTAATGTCTCACTAAACATCTAACTTGAAAATTGTTTTTATTTTTTACACTTCTTCTAGGACTCATACATTTTCCGCTTATTATGTAATAATAAATTGCACTCATTGTGACCTCCTAAATGTGACTCTGAATTTAAACTATGTTGCCACTATCATTCGCTACCCTACCAAACATATTTTCCCCGCTGAACTATTACAAATGCAATAGGTGTATATTATGGAAATTTTTCACTATAGATTTTCTGCATATTAAGCTGAGTGAATGTTACAACATGTTGCAGGTATRTTATGAGTAAGCACTGGCGTCAAACGATTATTGACACCATATAGACTTACCGAATAGGCCTATAGCGAATTGTATGAGCCCMAGTGCCATCGCCTTGTCTTGAGGATGTACACACCGAAGTATGAGCAACATGCTGCCAACCTCTGACGTGGAATGGATGAATACAAACAAAGAGAACAGAGCTATGTACCAAAAGCCCGAGTCCTCGCAATCATCTTTGCACGCGCCCGGATATGCCTCCGTGGCGTTGCTGTTCATGCACTGGCAGTCTGTGAACTGCAAAATAATGTAAATAATAACAATTTGTCTTAACTCRAAATGAGAGATCACCGAATAAGGCAGTATACCTTTTAATATTATGTGACTATAAAATTCGATGGTTTGTGCAATGGTCGAACCGATTGCATAATATAGTCAGTTTTATTTATGGAATAATATTATGAAAGTAAGTACTACAGATTAAGTAAAAAATAAATAAAAGATCACGTTATATCACATTAATAACTGAACTAAACATAGAGGTGAACAGCTTAAGTTAAATATAAGTCTAAACTTCAACTTGATTTAATTAATAGTTAAAATTTGACACGTTTTTTGTAATTATGGCGATAAATGCAAAAAGCATCATATTTATAGCCCCCGAATTCAAATTATATTCATTTATGYATTGATCTGCATAAACTATCAGAAAAAAATATCTAAAAATCACTAATAATTTTGATGATTTTATAATTACTTCTAAATAATTTAACTTGAAATATTAAAAACGCGTATACAACAGTACAAAAAATGTGAATTGAATTAAAATTTTAAAAAAAAGGTGGCTATAACTTGGYATGTTATGTAAATCATCTTTTAATAGGTAATTGAATCTTAGTTATGAGTCTCAAATCGTTGATAACAATAATAATATGGAGTCAGTTATAATAGTGTTATGAGGGTGAAAAATCACTGACAGAAAATGGTAACCATGCATTATAAAAATAATAATAATTAATTGTGGAAACAAAAATAAGTCGACGACTTCATAATTGCGACGCAAATTAACTATACAAATAAACAATTTATTATTTAGTACTTTGTAGCCGGCGCTGTACTCTTTTCCGAACGTCTGATTTTGGCATCCTGCGTGGCACGCCGAGAAGTACGTTATCCCGTCCACGCCACAAATCGGACTGAACATCTCCTCGTCACACACGCATCGATCCGAGCATGGAGACTCRAATTTGGGCTGATTCCTGTGCAAAACAATCGTGAAACCGATTCAATTAGAAAGCTATTAAAACATTTCAAGCCGAATACTGCAAAGTGATTTTTGCRTGCAACACGACATWCAATTTTTAGCAGAAAATATCACGACGCTTTATGCGCATTGGGTGTATAGATAGAACTTGGTTAATACGAGAATTTATGATTTTTTTTAAGCCATTTAAAATAAAAAAAATACGATTCTACGAGGAGCTCGTCCGAATCGACACWATTAAACCGCTCTACTTACTTAGATTTATTTTCATTCAACAGAGAAATATAGAGCAATATTATTATAATGATCTGTAGTTGTCCGTACTGCGATAGAATAGAATATTATTATCTACCAATAATGATTCGTATAATATATCTACTTGATTTTTCACACTACATTCACTTAGAGTCTAAGATTTTATAAAGGTGTTTCAAAAAAATGTAAAAAATAAATAACGAAATCTATAACCCATTAGCCATTATACTGCCTATGAATTGTATGTGTATTTATAAATCCCCGAAAATAAGACTGTACTAGAGTCAATGACTTTCCAAAATAATGATATACGTCATAGTGGTCGCATAATATTATACTCACAGTTCGTCGTATCGCAATCCTGTGATATTCGTGGTTGGACATCCGAAAAACATTAAAATACACATACCTATAAATGGTAATAATAATTTCAGTTAATAACTTTGTATCCGGTGAAGTACCTAACAAATATTATATCTGTCTTACCGATGGCGTATGCCAGTGCAGTAAATGCGATCCAAGCAGCCACTGCTCTAGCATTGGGATTTTTCTTCAGTATGAATATTCCGGATATTATGATTCCAATGCCCATGACCATAATTCCGTAAATTCCTAAGATAAAAAAAAAAAATGGTTAAAAACAAAAAAAAAAATGGTTCAGTTTTCATACTTTATGGTTTTGTTCACCGTAATGTGTATACGATAAAATATATACCTGTATTATAATAATATAAGAAATTAAATAACCTATAATATTCAAACCTTATTTAACTTTTTTACAATTTTCTTGGAAACCTAAACCGGTACCGATATTATTATTTTTTTTCCAGTTTCGGTATTATTTAGCTTTTTGATTTATTTAAGTAATAATGTTTGTTTAGTGGCCAGGTGTGACGTGCTGTATGACCTGAGTCACAAACGTAATCTGCGGTCAAGCATCAACCTAGTATCACTAGTTCCCGGATTTTTGTCTTTTGATAATATTTTTGAAGATCACTTGTTGACATTGTGACATGATATGCYAAGATATTATATTTCTTCAACTTTTTCTAAAAAATTGTTATTGTTATCATTATTAACAATTTGAAGATTAAAAAAGCGGTAAAGTGGATGTCGCCATACTTTATRTCATTGTGTTACAGGTGAGTCACTGTTAAAGATGATAAACTTAAATTTAAATTTGAATTAAATTTATATAATATCATCGTATACGAAAAATAATTCTGAGTGGAGATGGTTTAACAGTTTAGGATATTTTAACTAAATAATTTATAAATTTTGTCAAAAATTGAACTTTAAAAATTGAATATATATATATAAAGTACCTACATATTTTAAATATTTTCCAACTGCAATCATATCAACTTATGTGGAATATTGTATCAAATTCTCAAACTTTTTGACCCGATGAATAAAATTCTAATGATATTTATAAAAAAAAAACTAAATAATTTCAAATGTCTATAAATAACTTTAAAAGAGTAGAAATATTTTAAAAATTGCATGGTATATATAAAGTCCTAATATGCTAATTCGATGAAAATCTCTTGTATCTATGGTCATTTTTTTTTTAAGTTATAACAAAAACCAAAATTGATTTTGYTTAAAATCACAAAAAATTTTACGCTTATTTTTGTTTCTTCCTGCCAATTTTCATATCAGTATCCTTTTCAATCACACTAAGTTATGTACCTATCACTCGGATGTATAGTAAGCAAACAAGTGGCAGYAAGATGCTATTATTTAAAACAAATCACTTTTTATAGATACAGTGAAGTATGAAATATGACTGTATCAAAGTATCTATCTATGATACATTATAGTAACACTATTTTTTATAAAGCGTATCAACACAGATTTCTTTTAATTTGTTTTRCATGCATTTAAAAAAACAGTTAACTCACTTAAGTTCTTTYAACCAATTAAGATAACTTATGTTTATCTTAAAAATTTTTACAAGAAATGTATACTTACTTAAATTTTTTATTACCTTTAAAAAAAAATTATATTCTTAAATACCGGTATCCACCGGAACCGGAACCGAAACCGGTACTGAATTTATTTTTAGAACAGTCATATATAACCGATAACGAAAAACTCATAAATATTTCTAAGCCTGATAACTACATGGGTTAAACTGTAGGTACCTACTTTCCTTTTGGTTAAATAAGATTGTTTTGAACGAAAGTTCAAGTGCTGCAGATTCAGATTCGGAGTGATTCAATTTGTGTCCGACAGATGCCGTCTACCTTGGGTACGAATATAATATAATACTGGTTATTAAAGTCATGTGCGTGCATATAATATATTTATCTACCGTATGGTATTTGAAACATCGTGCTACCAACAACTTTGGTTCATTGGTTAATCGCTTGTATGGTTGTATTCTTATAAAAATTTTAGGGGCCATCACCGTTTGACGTCCACAGTGAAAAACATGGCATATGAGTCATAAAAAATCATCACGTGATTATAAGTTATATTAATATTTTTACCTGTGACCATGTTGGCGGTGTGCGTGGGAAAGTGAAACTGCGATTCGAAATACTTGGGCAGGAACGTGTAAATGCCAGCCAGCGGCAACAGGTGAAAAACACTGCTTGCGGTCCTGTACATGAGCATGTCATTTTTCAGAAGTCTCTTGACTGCGGTCGGAAAATCTTTGAGCTTAGGCGCCTTGGGAACGGCCGACATACCGTCGTAGGGGGGTGGTGGTGGCGAAGACGGCGACGCATTGGCACACCCGTTGACGGGCCGCTTGGATGGGTACTGCTTTTTCACGTTGGTATTGCTGGATGACGGCGGACTGGGCAACCGTTTGGGGAACGCGAACATCGGTACAGAGGCCAACAGCAGCGTTGCCGAAATGCCGACCAAGCCCAACCACCAGGCGCCCACCCACCGTGGGTTGTTGGTGTCCATATTGGGCTCGTTGCTAAGGTCAGCGTATAGGCTGGTGCACAAGGCGCCCAACAGGAATCCAAAAGATGGTCCGAGTATGCGGACTCCAATCGTGATGGAAAAGTAGAGTGGCGACTCGCGGCTGGCCACGTTATCGTCGATGAAAGGTATGCCAAGCGTGTAGACGGCAGTCTGGGCTATGCCCACGCCCAGCAGACTGGTGAAAAATATGATCAGCACGATTTGCGTGTTCCTGGACTGTTCTAGCTGTTCGGATAGTTCGTTCTGTTCGCACATGTCGTGTTGCTGGACCGGTGGCCGAGGACTACCATTGTCACCAATGGTGAGGTCGGGGGCCACGCACACGTTGGGTGGGTAATAGTCGGTGGTTGAGTTTCCAGTGGACCCGGCCACGCCGCCGCCCATCGTCGACCCTGACGCGGACGGCGAATACTGGTGATGGCCAAACAAGAAGTGCGGCGACGAGCACGCGAAGGCAGCCACACCGAATAGTACCATGCTGGAAGCTATCCACCTGGGCCGATGTCCCTGGCCACCGTAGTACGTGAGCAACAACGACGATCCGATCTGTCCGATTTCAGTGGCGCTMAGTACCAGTCCCATGGTCTTGCTCTGCAGCTGAAACAGTTTCTCCAGTGTGGTGATCACACTAACGAAGTACGTGGAGAACATGCCTTGCAGCACCCAGCTGAAGCAGAACGTGGCCAAGAATACTTGCTTGGACGCGAACACCTGCATCCACTTGGACCGGCAAGGCCCGATGCCGCATTGCAAGTCGCGGTCATCGTCATCATCGTCGTCGTCGGTGACTGTCGTGACGCCGCCGATCACGGTAGTGGTGAGCATCGCGTCTGTCGCTTCCTTGTCGTCGGCCGCCGTCCCGGTCCGGCCGTTGAACGCGGCCATTTTAGTGGCGTCTACGCCCGCGTCAGTACAACAACAATTCTGCGCGGCTACTGCACCGTCGTCGTGCACGTCGGCTCACTGTGCACTTCGTCGTCCGGTTGTCTCTGTGGAAATTAAGAGAAAAAATACATAAATCGGCTGTTCGGAAATGATCGATCATAATATCACGGCAAAATATTGAAATCGTAATATTATTATCGCCGTCGTCCGAGCTCAGGGTTTGGGAAATAGTAGCGAGAGTTTAGGAATTATAACGCGATTCTTGCGCACTCGGAAGTTTGTTTCGGAAGACGTGTCTGCACGGGACGCGGTCGTGCTGCGTAGTCCACGCTCGTTTGCGCACCGGAGCGCGGATGAACAGACGGACGGACGGTCAGATGGACGAATAAAGACGAACGACTCTCCCTTTCGGACGTCGTACGTAGGTTTATTGTGCGCAACGTATTATTATTATTACGCCCCAAGGTTTGCCGCACGCTCACGCGCACGCGCGATCGCCGATATTGTGATGATGACCTGTGCGGGACAAGGTCGATGGCAATTAAACGTCACGGCGGACGCGGCCAAAAGTGAACGCGCGCGTGCGGCCGAAAGCGCGTTACAATATATAATAGTATTATCTTCCGAGAAATTATATTATTATTATTATTATTATTACTATTACTATTACTATTATTACCATTATTGTGTTAGTTAAGCGTGTGTGAGCTCGCGTAACACACACGCATAAAGATACACGAGTATCAGTGCGTGTGAGACGCGCGATCGGCCTTGGAGTGCGCGCTAACAAAAAAGGGTGACGGACTGGGCGCACGCGCGCGCGCTCCGGAGATAGCAACAGGTTGAGATCGACGACGAATAATTCGCAAACGAGCGCCGCCGTGTAACGTGTGAAATTACAAGCGCATAACGACATTATTAGCGTAATATCCAAGAATAATAATATATTTATGAATTATTATGACATGATCATATTGTATAGTATTTAATATAACTATGTATGTATAAGGTTTCATTATCTAGATGATCAATAAATTATTATGATTTTTAAAAAAAAATTCGGCTTGGGTTTAGATCATGACAGTACTACACGACATAACATCGTAATAATTCGCCTTGTCGGGGTTGGTAAATTGGGTCCCAAATTACCGTTACTCGGTAAATCGAGTTCCGAGACAAAACCTGTAGTAGGTAAGTTGGGTCCCTGGAAAAAAAGATTGTTGATCCCGGCTACTAATWAAAAAATAAAAAATRAATTTCATTGTATTATGATTATAAAGGGGATCAAATTACCAAATATACTAGTAATGTTATTACCCGATTTGAAAATATTAAATCAATATCAATGAATTTTTTAACGAGTACATAATATCCATTTTATATGTATACYGTGTGTTCACCAATTTAGGGAACACTGAATTTGTCAGATGGATTATGTTGGAATAAATCGAAATTTTTTTACWAGTTAATGGTATATTTTCAGATAAATTTCAAATGTTTAACCCTCTCGGTACGCGCATGCGCAGCGCAACTTTTTTTTTTAATAGCAACCGGTATTTTTGATACAAAGTTCGGATAGACTGAATTTTTTAAAGTAGTTTTGATTAATTAACCATAGCTCTAAAACCAAAATTGACTGAATGAGAACCATCTAAATTTTAGTAAATAATACATTTTTACAATTAATTATAAAATACATAAAACCATTCATAATTATTTATTATTGATTACTTTTTGAATATTTTTACTTTTTATTTTTTTATACCTATTATAAAAAAGATTTTCATAATACGGATATAAAATTTATTACAATTGTATACGTAAAAATATTCAATAAGTAACCAATAATAAATAATTATAAATGGTTTTATGCATTTTATAATAAATTGTAAAAATGTATTATTTATTCAAATTTGGATGGCTCTCATTCATTAAATTTTGGTTTAGAGCCATGGTTTATTGGTCAATATGACTTAAAAAATTTAGTCTATCCGAATTTGGTATCAAAAATACCGGTYGCTATAAAAAAATAAATAATAAGTTTCGGTGCACATGCGCGTACCGACAGGGTTAAAAATTTGAAATTTATTTGAAAAGTGTATTTATATACCACTAGTTTGTAAAAAAAATTCTATTTATTCAAAACATAATCCGGACGAGAAATTCAGTGTTTCCTAAATTGGTCAACACACGGTATAATAATGATATTTATTTTTTTAATAAATTTATATTTTTAATCAATATAAATGAAGTATATAATAGTATAATGAAATTAATTTTAATTTTTTTTTAATTAGTAGCCGGGACCTACAATCTTTTTTTTTCATGAGGCCCAACTTATTTACTACTACCTGTTTTTTTCTGAGACTCAATTTACCACTTTCAAAATGTACCAAAATAATCTCAGACCCAATTTACATATCCCCCACCTGTTTGGTGCTTTGGTCTTGTCGGAGTCGTAGGTGCGAACCCGATGGTCGATTGGTATAACAATATGTTATTGAGTATTTACTTGAGATGTATTTTACGTACACATGATGGATAGTTATATTTCTTTTTTTACTATCCTTGTAATGATWGATGTTAAATATGTTGTCATATTTGTAACTATACAAAGTATTAATCAATTGATACTTGGGCAGAACAATGAAAATATATATTAAGTTACCTATCTATACTGTTTTCATAATAATTGTATTGGTTTGATATTCAAAGCTGTATCTGCATCAGTTTATTCCCATCAYAACATGTTTATCTTTCGTCTACTATATATCGCATATTATGTTATACTTTTTACTTCTTTCACAAATTTATGATATCGGAMAATTACCTAAATACTATATAAAATAGATATTTAAAATTCCTCATTATATTATATTGCATATAATAATATGGTTATTATATTATTTTATTAATACTACATATATAACAATATTGTGTCACATAAATAATATTTATAGATCCTCATAATCAAAACTAACAAATATATCAAATTTACCTATCACTTAAATAAAATKTGAGATATTATTATCTGAATGTGTACGTTATGTTACAGATATTGTAATATAATATGTAGTAGCGCACCGCCATGTAGACGAGTGTGTTTTTTAATCGTATTATTCTTTTAGGCARAGAATGAGAAACAAAAAAGATTTTGATTATCGTTTTTTACCACACCCGACCTGCTGCCACTATGGTGTATATAATGTCATGATGTACACGTGCGCGCTAGTGTTGTTCTTTTGTACTTGTAAAATGCTCTGACAAACTCCACTCGCCGACTTATTTATCGTATAATAATATAATGCTGCACTGCAACAATACGATGATCGTTCATTATTATTAAAATATATATAGCAGCTATATTTAAARTATATAATGCGCACAATATGTTATGTGCGCGTATCACCTAAGTAGGGATTTCGTAGGTGAAATCTACGTACACGTTTGTTAAAAAAAAATCAGTAACTATACATACAATCGATCATCCAAWATTTGAAACGTCATTTTATATTTTTATTATTGTTTCCACATAATATACAATTGATATCCGTACGGATATGAAGAAACACGAACTTTAAATCTACGATTTTACTTTATATTATTACTCCATGCCCTATGGTTACGACGCTACGACGGAAATGGTAATGATTCATTGACAATTGACATACCTACCTAATATAAATTATGGACCGCGTTTAGAAAGATAGATAAAATATGACTGAGAGAGACCGAGCTATCGGTTTACCTATCATGGCAGAAGCCAGTAAAAAACTGTTTTAACCGATGATATATAAGCATGATCATTCTTGACGCCACAGCTGATTATAATAATATCTAATAGCATAATACATTAAATACATTGAATACTATGTATGTATATGTTTTAAAATTATTTCCTATTTTCCTATAGAGTTAAGTATGAATGTTAAAGCCCCCCCCCGGAAAACAAATCCTGGGTATGGAACTGCCTACATCCAAAGTATGACCTATTAAATATAAATTATTTTAACATTATGAGTTATAAAATATAATGATGACATGTTTTGACAATAATTATTAAGCGGTCTACAAATTCTCTATATTTTTAAGGTATCACACTAAAATTATTGATACAACTTTGGATACCTACGTTTATTTTTATTTGATTTAAAAAAAAAATTGACAATTTCAAAATCTGCTAAAATAATTTAGTTTGCTTTGCAAAATATGAATGGTTGGCAAGTCTTCGTTTGGTATAAACTAATTTAGCGATTCCTTAAAAAAAAGGAAATTTTTAAAACTTATAACTTTAGTAATATTATGATGCAACTCGATGCACATTTATCAATAATTTATTGTGCATCGCGTCAGCCACGTCACCATTGTATACGACGACGTATAACAATAATAATATCAAATCACTCTATTCAATATAATTGATAAACTTAACCATGTGTGATGACAACAATAAGATGAACATTATTAAGTCGAGTCACTTTGAAGCGATGACAATGTCATAACGGGTTTTCTGTAACGATTGGATGACCGAGATCCGTCTTGTTTGCACGTGAAGTCGTGAAACACAATATTATTTCAAAAGTCGTCTGGCCATCGTTGCTATACCATATTATACGAGCAATGCGCATATATTATTATATTTATTTTTTGTTTTGTTTTTTTATTTTTAGAAAAGATAAAATATACAATCTGTAATTAATATATACAATAGGTAATTTTGATGGTTTTAGATTTGTACAAGTCTTAAGCCATCAATTGATGTCGTGATAGAAGAGGGTGCCCAGTGACACTACTTCAAAATTATAATATTATGTTATTATATATATTATACTTAGATATATATTATCATTTTATCATATTATTGTATTAACGAATGTTGAACATCATAATATTCTTTAGACGTATTCTTTCTTTTATATCACAATAACCACGCGACAGTATACAACTACAGTTAGCAGAAACAGAGCCACCGTCGTCGGGACTCGACATGCCTACTGTATATAATACATGGATTTTAAGTTGTTTTTTTTAATATGTACGCAGAGGAAAACTGTTATCACRATATCAACAACTGTTACCGATAACAGAGAAATCTTTCTTAATCATAAGAATGATATAGAACATTGTAATAAATCGTGTCTCATGATCATGAATTGTAGGTTTTTACTCAATAAATCTCACYGGATTTGTGTTTCGTATATAATGTAATTTCAAGTTAAGAAAAAAACTCTCCGTCTACTTCAAAAATCAACACTTTGTGTAATCCTTTTAAAGAATTTAATTTGTTAATGATCTGTGTTATTTTAGTACTTTAGTTTGTCCAAACCTGTGACTGAATTTCAATAGCTGACAATCGATAAATAAGCGAAGTATTGTACCAAGCATTAATGAAATATTAAATGTTTCGATGATTAAGTTCGAAATTTATAGTTTAAATCGAATTTTAAACCACAAAAAAATGTTTATAATCTCATTATAATATCATACAGTCAAWCCTCGTTAGCCGTTTCATAACAGTGTTTAATGCACTTTACATTGCAGAAGAGTTTAAAAATATGAAAACCAATGTGGCAGTAGATGGGTAAATGAAAATTTTCATTTTCTCGAAATTTTTTTCTTTAAAGAACAGCATGTTTTAAATAATATTATGTACCTTGCATCCTAACCTAATCATGTTTACGCACACAAGCCATCATAATACAAAGTACATAATATTAAGATCATCTGTACACCTATTGCATTGTCAATCGGAGAGGCACTCCTTTTTTTCTCTAGAAAAACAATAATCTTATCTATAGTAGTAATAATAATATACACTGTATAATAATATTAAATCATCATTATGTTTGACTACAACTGCTGCCGCCACTGCAGGACTCGAGGGTTAAAAATATTTTGTTTTGTGCTTCAAAATCAAAAACCCGTAATCTTATTTTAATAATATTAACACGCTATGTATGTTATACTACTCCAATAGCATAATAATAATAATAGTAATAATATTATAATGTATGTAAAATAATATTTTTTCTGCGTTTTTTACGATTGATTATTCTAATATTGTGTTGGTGACCCGAACCCCAAGTTCACTACCTAGGTATAATATAATAACCTAACCGTCCAATCGATGGCCCATATTTTCGTATTATTTAAACTGAACGATTAYGCATGTATTTTCTAATAATACATTATGATAAACTAAACACCGCGTATATTATTATAATTTTTTTTCAATCTCACATATCGATCAGATGCCGAGTGTACTGCAGATGTATATATGATAAATATATGATAAATATCGAAACAATATTAAAACTCTATATTTTATTTCCGTTTCAGTTTTTAAAAATTACTTCTATCGAATCCACCCCACTCACTCCCACCCACTCGGTCACCGTACCATTATATTAATTATACACGACCGAAAACTCTGCGCTAGCCCACGTCGACGCGTGTATAATAATAAGCGAATCGAGAAGAGTACAATGTGGAGGCTTACGAATAACACATAACATTATCATTTATAATATACGCACCCGGTTTTTGCAGTAAAATAATATATATATATATATATCTTAATTGATAATCGTTTTTAATATATTCACAAGTGACACAAACATTCTCATAAGACATTCCAAATAATATTATACATATGTAAACACAAAGTAGTTAGTACTTTCAATATAATATGTCTAAAATAATGTTTCGCTTTTTTATGTATTATAATTATATTATACGCGGAGATATTATTATGCTGAATTTCAGTTATACATAGTTTCACATACTAATATTACCTATTATTATATAAATCTGCGCGTTACCTACCCATTAACAAAAATCACATTTTTTACACACATACAATATGTCTGTACGTTTGTGGTTGTGACGTTTGTGCGTAACGCATCGAGTATAATATAATATCACGGTACAAAACTAGTTTTGACGGTCAATTTCACTTACTCGCGATTTCAAACAACATTTTGACTGTCACACGGCAAATTTACATAAACGCACACTATATTATATGTTATGTATAGGAACGTTCCTTCGATTTTTTTCAAAGAGTCGTATATTACTATTACACGTGACACCACGATAATGTTTCAACATGCACACATTTCAAGTGTATATAATTAAGGAGAAAACAATTGTATACTTAAATGGTCTATATTTTTTCGGGTCTGTTTATTATAAATCCACCACCCACTAAATCAAAAGAGTGTTCTTATAAAAATGTATTATTTTAATGTCCTTTTATTTGCGCTRCGACGATAACAATAATAATTGAACGATTTGTAGGAATAGTGATTATATGTTACAATAATWCAAAAATATTATTATTGTACAGTGTTATGGGTAAGTTATCATCTCGGTAGGACGTCGTCGTCATATTCTTTGAGTTTTCGCGGCATTGCATATTATATGGTATTCAATTATTCAAATAATATTATGCGTATTAAACGCGATACGTTGCATTATTGAGTTTTATTTCCACGACAACCAAAAGTTGTTGTAACAAACTCGGAGCTATTACAATCCAAGTTCGATATTACTTAACAATTCCATTTGGGCTTTTTAATAATATTATATTTCATTGTATAGCTATTATTGTGCCACCATGTACAAAATTACATGTGTATGTCCGTTTGAATCGTCCTCAATTATTTATGAGTCTAAATATTGCGTTCTGTGACGGCACAACCTACAACTTGCTTCTAAATCAATAAAATATTGCGTTTATCTAACATAAGTAATATTTATATACAATATACATACCATTTTTTGAACTTTTCTATAAGACCTAAGCTTTAAACTAAGTTAATTGTTCATGTGTATAGTTATTTTATTTTATACTCAAAAATACCCTAAGATATAATACTAATTTTGATTTTGAAATAGAAATTATTGACCAAATGTGATTATATGACCAAATGTACGACCACGACCYGACCACATTTATTCACTGAACGTTTACGCATTAATATTAACTGCACTTATCCATGTCTACCGACTTGTAGTTATTAGATTTGATAAAAGAATATATATGTTTATATAATTTGAATAAGTTACTTTCAACTTTTCCAACTGACTGAAACCTTTTAAAAATATTGTTCTTATAGATACTCCACAGCAGTAATGTGCATAATATATGCAAGACATATGTCTAGTGTATCATATTTTAATATACCGCATCACCAATGGCCACTGCTGGTTTCACAATACACTATACAACGTATTTTAATACAACACATTTAAAAAATTTGTTAGCTAAATTCAAAATTTGTTGTGGAAATTATTTTCAAAACATAATATAGATATATGATATTTTTGATAAAATATGTAAAGTGTACAATATTCTAATTTTATTGGGAATCATTTTAAACATTCAATACACTGTCTTGAGAGTATTTAATGTTTTCGAACATGCCTGTAAGTGTTCAATATCTTTGAGAACATGACGTTAAGTACTTAAAATAATATGTTAATTTTAATGTTTATATTATGTGCTTTGTATATGATCGTACTTACAATGAAAAAACAAAACATTTTACCAGAAGATAATGTTTTTTTTTCGTGCATCAATAGCATATAAATTGAGGACTCTCGTGAATCCCGTAACCACGCTGTCATRGARAAATTAGATAGGTATTTCGTCGAGTGTTACCGCTGGGTTGCTACTCACCTCACGCATTCACAACAACTGTAAATTCAAAAATAAATGTTTAAAAAAAAGAGATAGGTATTTTGATTGCTGAAATAATTTCTTTACGAATTTKATATTTTATCCGGTAAAAATCTCCTTTTTCGTATTCCACGACTACCGAACATGAATACTATGCGTTATGATTTTTTGATATCCCGCAACCTTTTACTATTTTTGTTATGACTATACGTGGTCATTAGGATGTTTTATTATTTTTTGTTTGTTTTATTTGTAAGATCACCAGGAAGCATTCCAAKATTCAACACCATATAATCAAAAAACTCAGAAGCTCAGAATTTGTGTTTATAGTTCCGTCATTTAATGTATCTTTATTTCAATAATATAATGTGTATGATTTATGCATACACACAAAATAAATTTCGATTGCGATACTATCATTATATTTTACTGATAACGTAGTTTGAGTGTGGATTTATTGTTTTTCGTCAATTCAATATAAATATTAACACTGTTCATAAATAATTATTAGATTGTCAACAAATAAATATTGTATAAATATAAAATATGTTGTTTTTTCATAATATTCAACATATTTGTGTTTTCTTAATTTTAGCCATTAAAAACTCCCTATCCATTATAATATATTATCTTTGAACCTCATCATTACTTATAAATAACAACAATATATTTTTAAGAAAATGTATTGTGTATTGTGTAGGTGCCTAGTATAATAATATAGTCTGGTGTCTCATTATAATATTATTATGCTATATCATTTTGCGTCGTCGTTTTACTTGTTATTGACTTAAAGTTACAACCCACGTTACGTCGTGGTCGTGGTGTATGTGTAATGTTAAATAGTTACTAATTTATACCTATCACATTATATTATAATTTTTTCGTGCGCCATCGTCGCCATCACATTACGCAAATTACTTTATACAACTGTTAGCACCAAGTTAGTTCAGGATTTGTTATTATTTTTCTTTCATTAATTATTTAAAAAAATACGTACAGACAACCACCACCACACGAATGTTTGACGATTATTAAAAAAAAATATGAATAATAAATTAAAAGGAATTAGTCATTGTGCATTGTCTTTGATTTGTGTCCAACAGTCTAACGGTCGTAAAATTAACGTCAGCGATGAAAATAAAACAAAATAGTATTACTTCAATACGCGCATTATCGAAGAACTACAAATATGTCTTTTTTATCTACTTCGAATAATTGAATAGCGTGGAGTTATGACATCGTTTTAATTGTTAATATTATAAATTATACTTAATATACTAATCATCACTGATGAATGCTGGAAAGACAAATAAACATAATATGGCGATGCAGTCTAGACGGTCTAATTTAAAATATGTAAACAAAAATAAATAAATACACTTTAACGCATTTAATCATATTAAAAAGATGCACAAGTAATAACGATAAATATATTTATTGCCGATGCAATTATTATTGTTGAACTAACAAGTGCGTTTCATTATTATAAAGATGCATAGTGCAGTTTCTAGAATGTTGACATCAATTTAACTATACTAATCAAGCTAACTGTTATATTCTCATGTAATTATTATAACATTTGTAGTAGTTGAATACGATTGTTGATTTGTTTCTTAACAAATCAATAACAGAACAAACAACTCTATAAGAACCCAACGTTTTAACTGTACTCGAGTTTTCGATAAGTACGTTGTTAATTGAAGATTTTCATAAGTTTCCTATAATAATATTATGTAATACACAATCGTTCAATAAATAAACGTTTAATTTTTTCCCATTGTTTTTCTACTGGCAAGTCATTTATTATTATATTATAATTATATTATATCGGCAAGAAGGCAAGCGGCTGCATTTGCAGTTGAGTGATATTTGTGTATCCACTGTATCCGTAAAAATAATAACAATGAATTATAAATGTACAAGTAGATACTGTATACCATAACATAAAACAAATATTAAATACCTTAATATTACTATAGTGCAAGTACCTACAATAAACACTTATATATACGCAGGTTATAATACATATTATATTCAGAGTGATTCGCCATTGCAAGCATTATCATCCCTATTTTCCCCTAATATAATGCAGTTATTCAAATTTTATAAATATAATAGATACCTTTTTACACCCACTCAATGTAAATATTTTTAAATTTTTGATATATTTTTGTGCTACTTTTGGTAGTAACCACTGAAAATAAATTTATTTTTATAAATAAGAATCAAGATTTTTTTGTTAGCAATTGTTAAGCAGATACTTTTTGAAAATGTTGATGTTTTTATGTAAAAATTCAAACGAGTAATTTTTGAGTTATTGAAATGCATACTATTATATTTAGGATAATCCTTAAAATTAGTTAATTAATAATTTAATCTGAATATTCATATAATTATTATGCAATATTAATACGTTAGGTATTATCATTAAATTATTTCATATTTTTATGATTATCATCTCCCATATCTTCCAAACTTATTATCACGGACTTATTTAAAGCATGAAGTTAAATAAGTCAAGAACTATTAATTTTAATTTTCTATTTAGAGTCTTCGACGTTTTTAAAACAACCATCTGCTCAATAAATAATGCCAAAAAGATGGTTCTCATTGGGTGAAAATGAATTTGTTATCACTAAAAGACATTTCGAAAACGGTTTAAGAATCCACGTATTTTGAAAAATAGGATATGATCCTTGAATACTTAAAAAAAACCCAAAAATCAAAATTGTAAAAAGTATTATGAAATGAAAATATATGGACGAATATATGCTTAGTGAATTACTCTATATTATAACCATAAATTATATTTTATAACATTATCATTATGTGAGCCATCTGTCCGGAATCTTCTTTTTTCACTGTCGTACACATTGTTTTTTTTTTCAAATCTATTGTAATTGTTGCTATTCTGTCTCATAAATAAAGGTACAACGATCGTGTAAATACAATATTACATACTAACTAAATGCTATTTTTAGTCCATATGAGGCATATAATATAAAATTATATAATAATATATTGTTCGTACAATAGTAATGATATGCAATATTAATGCACACTGCACTACGGTGTCCGGTAGGTATATCGAACGATAATCTTTTTTTTTATATACTCTACTCTACAGACTACATTATATTATACGTGTACTGTGGTAATCAGCTCTTAGGACTTAGGAGTGACTCATTCGGAACGCGTGTTCAGGTTTGAACAAAATATATAATACATTATTATTATTATATCAATTTATATAAGTACCCATACCAATGTCCGGCTCCCGTAGTAAACAGAATACGGACTGTGTCGAACGATTGTTTTTTGTTTGTAACTTGTAATTGTTTTGTTTTTATTTTATTTTCTAATGACCGTCGTCATAGTTGCTCAACACAGAATATATAAATATACATTATATAATGTCCACCTCAGACCACGGGCAACATACGTATACACACGTACCTATAGTGTGTACCTTAAACATAAGAGGGAGAATGAATTCCTATATTGGGATCACGTGCACGCACTCCATAGAGGTCGAAAGCCGAACGTACCTATATACATATAGTGGTGCGCGGGTTTGCKCCGGTGCCTCGCCTAAGTTATAAGCAAAGGGCTCTCTCTCTCTCTAATAACAAGTTTCGATGTGCATTAATAATAGATTGACTAATGATGTGTTGTCTCGGATCGGTTTTTTAAAGAAAAAAAAAGAAATATCGTAACGCACAGGCGTTTTATGTAATATTTGTTTTCTTTCTTATCGACGTATATAATAATAATATTGTTGTTCCTCAGGCAAAAATAATGCTCAACTGCATTTTTACTGCACCAGCAGGCGCCCGGCGAGATAGAGCGGTAATTATTTCGGTCATGTCTGGACGAATAAAAACGAAAGGGAAGAGGAAAAAAATAATAATGATCGCAAAAAATCTGCTTGGAACGATTCGCTAAAAAAACAAATGCCCGGCTTGTTGGTGTATATAACAATCGAATAATTTAATGTTATTATTTTTGTTATTTATTAGTATATTGTCTATTGTCTCCGTTTTGCGTCGGTACCTCTGCAGCAGCAGTACCAAGTATCTATATGTGTACAGTAAATTATAAAATCACTACCACAGCCGGTGATAAAAATGATTCCAATAATACTATTAAAGTTCAATTATTTAAATACCTACCAACTATTATAATATCATCATTATTCAGTATATTAATATTGTGGTTTTGTTAAACATTATATTAACGTACGTATATACTGCGTGTACAGTGTACACTAGCTCTGTCAAACTGTGCTCGTAAATTTTTTTTTCACTGTCGTCCGTTTAATTTATTATCACATATGTTTTTTAACGTTCTCGGCCCCCTTGACATTGGTTATTATAGAATAAAAATAGTAACGATGTATAATATTATATACTATAATATTATACAATACGAAACCGTATTGTTATCGATTATTAATTATAAAATGTTTACTGACCATAAAATAAAACATATTTATTAACTTTTAAAACGATATAGCCGGTATAGGCAATTATTTCGGGTGTACTTACCTATCGACGATTTAATTGATTTACTGCAATGCATCATCATATCGTTTACAGGTATACCTATTGTATTTTTTATAGTTCTAAGATTATAAATTAGACGTAATAAAAAAAAAATAATGATAATTTTTATTATGTAGGTATATGTAATGAAATAGGTACGACGAAATGAGTTGCACAAAGTCCCGTTTATTAACTTCACGTTCAAGATATTATAATATTTTATTAGTAATTACTGTAGGTATACATTTGTGTGTATTTTTCAATAATCTAATACTCTAACTATCGGCAAGGATTTAGACTGCAAGTAGTGCACTCTTCTCAACTGACATTTTTTTTTTTTTTTTTTTTAAGTAGTAGAATGGTAACAGTAAATATTATAGTCAAATTTAATTTTAAAGATGTCCTACAAAGTAACAACAATATTATAAAGCCACATTTTTAAAACGTAAACAAAATTATTTTTCTAATTTTTTA